ATTTTCAGTATTAAAAAATAGAAAATAAAAAATGTATTATAAAAATGTAGCGCAAGTGTCTATGAATTATATTTAAAAGAAATTTTTTAAAAATATTGATAAGAACAAAAGTTATTTCATTTGTCAGAATGTCAGACCTCTGTGGGACACCCTATATAGATACCAACATAAATAATTATTATCAAAACGGGAAGTAATTTGCCGAGATTGCTACATTAAGAAGTCACGTAAGTAGGTATAGGCATTCGATTAAATAGATTATATTTATTTATTATTATTATTATTATTATTACTTTTTTTTTTATGAAGATTTCGGTTAGAAGTAGGTAATATTATTGCACAGTAGAACCTTTTGTGATGACGACGCCGGTTGTTGTGAATTGMCGGATTTAACGACCTAACATTAAATGCCCCTGGAAAACTACAATGTTTTATAACATGCTATATTGCTATGGCGTTCATATAACATTAATCATTATGATTTAATGACAATAATATTGTTGTAATGACTCTTTTTTTAAATATATATTCTTTTGAAGGTAATATTCTTTCGTTTACTAAGACAAAAGAATATTTAAAATTCGTTTAATCAAAAACAACAATTTATGTATGTTTATAAAAAAAAATTATAAGGTTTGAGGAATTGAGTGAAGTGGTCGTCCTGCAGTAATGTTATACGTCGACATTTTTGGTGAATTCAAAGTTCAAACAAATAGGTTATCACTTTATCAGCTATACATATAATGACCACACAATATTATACGGCCTCGTATTATTACCAATGGTTTGTAAAAAAGAATAAACWTATGTCTCGATAACATAATACAATATGTAAATTTATTTRAAAAATAGACTTTTCTCATAATATATTCAAAATGTGTAAGAAAATTAAAATATGCAAAAATACGCAGTGTAATCTTTTTTTTTATTAAAAATACCWAATGCATACAATCACCACAAAAAAGTTATGCATTGAATCAGATTTTTCCGAACGAATATGCARATCGATGCGTAAAGTGCCAAGTTAAAAATAACGATTTCTACTAACCATTTTATTGTTGGAATTWTTTTTCTTTTTGATCAAACATTTAAACTCATATTTATTWTAGTGATCCGTCTGTTTCTGAATACACAATATACATAACATAAACTTAAAATGACTATAAAAGTAGGTATAAACAATTTATAGAATTAACAATAAATTGTTAACTGTTACTGTACACTGTMTATGCACTCATTGAGTTTTGACTTTGTCGTTWCTAAAACCTTTTATACATTTGAAAACCTTAAATAATACGAATGTGACTARGAAAACAAAAACCAACACAACAGCCATTACGTCCAACAATAGGTATTGATACCACGTGAGGTTCAGAGCGTGAGATCTCAAGTGTGGAGCGCCTTTGTGACGGATCACATATTCCGTCCAATAAACGACCGTCTGTTGTGGCGTCATCGGTCGGTCTTTGAATCGGTCTGAAGCAATTTTTGCGTTTTTCGCGTATCTATTACGAAAAACATAATATTACAGATAATATTTAATAAATCACACTGAAGTATAAATCGGTACTATTGAAAAACGATTGGTGGAAATCRAATGTATAGGATAGCTAGGTAKGTGCCGTTCGCGTATAGTTGATAGGCATCACCGAAGACTTACCTTTCGTCGTTGATGAGTTCGGAAATGGCGTTGGACAGTTTTTCTCTGGTCGTCGACAACAGGTCCATGGATWTCGCCATTCCRGCCAGGACCAAATGTTCAATATTTCTCGGTTGATCGTAAAAAACCGGAATTCCAAGTACGGGAACCCCGCCATCCACAGCTTCGTACACTCCGGACATACCTCCGTGACTGATAAACAGTTTCACTTTGGGATGTACTGTAATTAAATATTATATTTTTTGAAATTTTTTTCAGAAACGTAAGACGATCGAGGTTTATCTGTCTATAAAGTGTACTTACATAGTATT